ATATCTTTATATTATTAATTGAGAAGTACATTCTAATGTTTGGATACAAGAATTAGAGAAACATCTATTTGGATAGAAGAATAAATGGAAACAAAAGTTGTTTGGATATAAGAATAAGAGAAAAATCTATTTGGATAGAAGAATAAATGGAAAAAATTGTTTGGATACAAGAATAATAACTTAAAATAAACCGATGGTTTAGAAAACTTCCGTTTTCCATCTCTTAAAAATCTGCAAAAAAAAAACTTAACATAATCTAACGATAATTCCAAATCAATAGAATATGCTTTTTGGATTTTCGGGTTTTTATAGACAAGTTCGGGTTTGGGTGAAAATCTGAGACATAATTTTATAGAGATATATATAGAGATATAGAAATTGTTCGGGTTTCTTTGAAAATTTCTGTTCGGGTTAGGTTCAATTTTTTTTTTCAGTTTAGGGTTTTCCGGATTTTTTAGATTTCTGGTTTTCGGGTTTAGATATATTAAAAAAATTGAGTATTTTAAAATTTTGATTAGGTATTGGGGTCGGGTTCCGGGTGAAAAAGTTTCCAGATTTTTTTTGTTCAGTCAGGGTTTTCGGGATTTTTTTGATTTCGGATTTTCATGTTTAGACCTATTAAAAAAGTTTGGGTTTTTAAATTTTTTGATTAGGGTTTTTTGTCGGGTTCGGATTTAGGGTTTAAATTTTCTACACAAAACAACAACGTCACACCGCACAAACGTGCGGGTACTCTACTAGTCACTTTTTTAAGCGAGAATTAAATACAGTCACAAACTCACGATGAAAGTTTCGTTGAGTTGATGCAGGACCTAGAGTCACATTCTCTTCCATAGCTAGGTTCTCGTTTTTCTCCTCGACTATAGAAAAATATTCATAACACTCAGTTGCATTTTGTACGCTTCTATGTAAAACAGAGCGTCCAATCTAACCTAGCACTATCCCAAGAATAACAGATCATGATCCAAAAATATATAGATTTCTAGCTCCAAATAACCCGAAAGGAAATTCAGATCGGGAAAACGAAACTTTTCTATATCCTAATCTCTCAGAGATAATCAGAGAAAATAGAAAATTTCATAGAGACGTATTGTACCATGGTTTAGGGCAATCACAGGTAAAAGTTAACTCCGATCTGAGAGCTACTTCATCTTGTAGTTCCGCCTACACACCTAGAGCGATGCAAGACAAATAGATAGATTCAAAACCATGGAAACAGGACCAAAGGTGACAAAAAATTCGGCTGAAGAGCAAAAAAGTAATTCGGCTGATGTTAAAATTAGTGCTAGAAGTCAGAAACATTTTTTAGTCAGCCTAGTCGAAACATTAGTAACAGTTAGGGTTACTCTTGTGTATACCGTTCATGCTTCAAGAGATAGTTACACCAAGAAGCTATCTTCATCGGAAGCATAATCCCAATCAAAAGAAAAAGTTTTGCATCCTCAACAACCTCGATTCTCACGTCGGTTACTCCACTCAATAACTTGCATCCACCAAAATTTATGCTTTGACATAACGGTTCTCGGTAATCAAAGATGTTTTTTCTGTATACATCACCACGATATCAACAATTGTGGACCCTGTTAAAGGTTACTCCTTGGTTCACATCTTTGACTTAAGTTAATCAGCATGCAAAGACCAACTTTCATCGATTCGACATGAACAAACTCAACAAACAACCTCCTCCACTTGTTATCGTCATATATTTTCCACCTATATTGCTCGTGCTCGTAATCTACTTGGAAGAGCTCGGATATTAGCGAGTAAACTTCGTTATCCCACATAACATATCAATGGAATTATAATAAAATCTTCTTCTTACTCTATCGCCCTCGCTTATCGAACAACCACAAATCAGCAATTTGTTCTTTAACAAAGCTTTGGCTGTTAATAACACGATGTTTACGATGTTTGTCCGATGAAACCCTAACTTTTGAGCTTTTTATATTTATAGGGGTGGTAAAACAATTAGGGTTTCAATTGAAATAACAAAAGCCTTTTTAATATTTTTAATCGATGGTAGAAGAAATTTTTTAATGATTTTTCATTAGCAATAAAAGGATATTTGTTAGATTTTCATAAAAAGAAAATTTTAAAGATTTTATCAAGATTTTCATTAAGGGTAGTTACGTAATTCCGCGGCTGAGAGTTAACGTGGTGCCTCCATTTGAAATTCTGACTTTGCAAATAATAGTATGATTGTGATAGTGTTCATGAGAATGTGCTCTCATTCTACCTGTAACATATGTATCATGCACTGAGTGTTAACTCCACCATGATGTCTAACAGGCTTCTGCTAGAATCATAGAAGTGTCTGCGCTAACCATCTGAAATATTGATTCTAATCTCACTCACAAGAAAATTCTCAACATGAGACCAATTGAACATTAACGGATATGGAAAATGTCACAAACTCCGTGATTTTCCATACCTTGACTTTAGGAGCATCACCCTTTTTTTATCATAGCTAACAGTAAATGATCACTCTTTGTGGAATTCTGTGAATCACCAAAACAAGTCAAAGAGTTAGATAAGCCATAAGCGGGAAGAAATATTTGAAGTATGATTATTTCAGTGCTTATAACATATCCGAAATGAGTTACCTCCGGATTTTTCTATATCATCACTTTGGCGAGCTAGCCCAAAAGGTCCTTAGATTTGGCTCAAGTATATCCCTTTGTCCATCACAAAGTCGTCGCAGTTTCAGTCAAGATCATCACACCAAAGGGTTACAGACACAATAAGACTTCAAAAACAAATGTAGAGAGAAAAGGCTGAATGGATTTATCTCTTTGTTCCCTAGACAAAAAAAAAAACTCTCACGAAATTGCATATTAATATTGTAACATGTAATCAATAGCAGGCTGTTTGGGAACTATGGGTTAAACTCTCATGAAATTGCATATAAGAAATTAGGGTTGACTAAATTGTTTTCCCACAAGAACTATCGTATAACATCAAATGCGGCTCTCAAACTATGATCCATATCTAGATCTCCCTCATTTGAAAGTTACAGACCTATATCATTCCAAAATGAAGTTTGAAACGTATATACTTCCATATATTCCTTTCAACGATTTGTTATGTAAACCGTTGAAACCAACATATGGGGTGTATATAAGTTTAAAACTTCATTTCGGGAACATCTAGGTATTAAAATTCCAAATGTGGGAGATCTAAACATGGGTCATAGTTTGGACCGCTTCTAATGCTATGTGATAGTTATCGTCGGTTCTAATCTCATTTGATTATGTGGAAATATATAGTAGAACCTCTATAAAACAATACTCGATAAAACAATAAACACTATAAGATAATAATTTTCTCCGGTCCCAACTCGGGCCAATGTAAAAAATAGCATAATGCGATAAGATGATAAGACAATAATATTTTTGAAACTCCTATGTAAAAATATAGTCCCAACAATAAGCTAAGATAATAATTATAAAACTAAGGCATATATATCTAAGACAATTTAGTAAAATATGACTCCAATGTAGTTTGTCTTTTCTGAAAGTTGGATTCCCGTTGGAGCTCATCTCGAATTTTTCTTATTGCATCTACAATTTCTGGTGGTGTATTCTCAACATGCAGCCAAAAGTTGTGAAGAGTTCTCGAAGCCACAATTGCTTAACTACTTGCACATGTCTTCCTCATCATCTTCAACTTCATCTTCACCATTAAGAACAGTAGACATAATTTTTTAGATTTTGAACTTCTGAGCATGAAATATGTAAATAACAAAGTATAAGGAAAATTTGAATAAAAAAGTGAAAAAATATATTCTATAAAGTTTCTTGTTTTTGATAGAATATTTCTATAAAATAATAATTATTGTTTTATCGATAAAATAATAATATTGTTTTATCGATAAAATAATAACTCTATAAGATAATAAAATTTCAAAGTCCCAACATTATTGTTTTATAGAGGCTTTACTGTAGATGGCCAACCCATTAATTATCACATAATCAAATGAGATTAATATCTGAAGTTTTCTTATAGATTCAGAATAAATAAAATAAGTTAGAAAAGAAAAAAGTTAGGGGTTCAACGAAAATTTTAATTGTTGTCAGTATTAATAAATAAATACAAATAAACTACAAAATAAATTTTAAAATCATATGGTGTCATACGGTGGGTTCGCCTCTAATACACGATCCAAAAATCTCTAAAACTTTAAACTTTTTAAACTAGTTTTCTTACAAAAATTCTACTCAAAATGCTAAAGCTCTTAGTTTGTGATTAGCCATATACAGTAGGAATGCCATAGAAATTTTAGCTAGAATTTTCTTGGTGATACTTCAAATCTTTAAGAGAAAAGTTTCTATTTATTTTTCTTTAATAAATAAAATATTTCATTATCTTCAAAACTTCAAATTTTCTCGTCCAGCTCAGCTCAGCTACCGCTTCTTTTACACTCGTCATTAACATCCAGCTCAACAACACACTTATCCTAAGTCCGGTTGCTCCGCGCAACAGCCTCAACTATACACACTTTGATGTAATGTACTTCTTAACTGATACAAAAACTGTTTCAATCCAGCTGTATCTTCAACATCAATTTCTATAAAGGGTGATAATGATAACATATAAGAATTTGTGATTTTGTAGAAACCAGAACCTGTATAGACTGTTTCATGTGCTACGAAATTCAGTTATAAAGCATCGTTATAATTTTTATTTTCACTTGTGTGCATGTAATATATATATATGAGAATAACGAATGATTTAGTGGTGTGGTAACTGCCACAATTAATCCCAAAAAAATCAGGAAATATCTTGAACAAAAAATAAAAGGAAAAATTTGTTTTCCAATACCCCTTAACAATATATATTTTTTCAGATATGCAGGGTTAGAATGTTGATTCCTATAAAATCATTAGGGTTAACGAGATTTGAGTATTTCTATTATCCTTCTCGTGAATCGTAGAAACAAAATTAATGCACGTAGTTGAAAAGCTCTTTCAAAATCCAGAAGATCGATTCAGATTCGAGAGATGATGTCTCGCACCACCACAGTGATGTCTTCCTCTGATGGTAATTGTGGTCACTGGATCGTTCGTCACAGAATCTGCCTCACCTGTAAAAAGAAGGTAAGTCATCTCGAAGAAGACCGAGCATTCAACTATCTGTTCTCCGGTTTATGTCTGACCAACGAAGCTATGCCTTTTACAAAGCGTCTCGTAACCCTAATCACGATTTACGACCACAAGAAGCTTCACTTGGTACTTGACTTGGACCACACGCTAATCAACTCCGTTTCGGTTTCTAATCTTTCCCAAGCAGAGAAGTATCTAATTGACGAAGAGAGATCAGGTAAATGGGAAAACCTAGGGAAATACGAAGACAGATTAATAAAGTCTCGACCTTTCCTTCAAGAGTTCCTTGAAGAAGCCAGCAAGCTCTTCAACATGCATGTTTACACAAAAGGCAGTTCGGGTTACGCTCAAGCTGTTGTGAAGATGATTGATCCAAACAAAACTTATTTCGGGGGTCGAGTGATAAGCAGAAGAGAGAGTCCTTACAACAAAACACTTGATCTTGTCTTAGCTGATGAGCGTGGAACCGTGATAGTGGATGATACGGTTGAGGTTTGGCCTCATCACCAGAAAAACTTGTTGCAGATTAGAAGATACCTGTATTTCAAACACGATTGTATAAACAAAAAGTCGTACGCAGAGAGGAGGAGGGACGAGAGTAGAAGCAGCAAAGGAGGATTGGCCAATGTCTTGAAATTCCTAAAGTTAGTTCACAATGGATTTTTTAGCTGTGGAGTTGGAGAAGATTTGGAGTCAAAGGACGTTAGGTCGTTGATCAATGGTCCTTTCAAACTATATGGATGTTGATTTACTCTCCCGTTTTAACTTTTATTTCATTTATCTATATTTTTAAGATTTTGGAAATTTTTACTAATCAAAAAGTTGAAGAAAGTAAAGATTTTGATTATACCATGTATCGTGTAAGAAAGAACAAGATTTAAAATTTCTGATAAATGTAAAAGGAGCCAGAGAATTGAGTTTATGACAAATACAATGTGTGTATTGTCGCTGAAGAAGGAATCTGTCGTCGTGATGATACCATTCAATTATCTTGCCTATATGGATTATGTGATCCTCACCGACTGGATTTTGGAGATCGTATCCTTGTAGCAAACACGCCATTTGGAAGAATACGCTTGTTTTGAGTTGTGTAAATTTGGATGAACAAAGTGAGACTAATATCTTTTTGACTAAGGTTTCAAGGTTTACAGTATGCATGGGACTTCGGTTTAGGTTTGGGTATTCCGGTTACGAGATATAGAAACTGATTTTTGAATTTCGGGTTCCGGTCGGTTTTCGGGTTTTGAAACCCAACCCGAACATTTTTTTTTTGGTTAGGCTAAATTCAGGTTTTTTCAGGGTTTTTTCAAGTTTTTTTTCCGGGTTTTTCTCAAAATGATAGAGATATAGAAACCGATCATGTTCAGGTTTTAAAAGTCTCAGATTTGTATAATTCTTAAATCTAGTTTACACTACATCTAAAGACGTAGATTTATATCTTATCTTAGATTTGTATAATTCTAATCCTTGGACTTAACTCACATTTTTTCCTTCTTTACGTTTTGGATAAATGTGTCTAACTTGATCTCAACTTTTATCAATTGGTCCAAGTCCGACTTGCGAGAATATATGCATAAATATTTGATATGCCATGACTCAGTTTACGTCCATGTCTAAAAGATGCGATAATGATAAGAATTTGGGTATTAGTAATCTAGATCGGATCATAAGAAACGGACCATTTAATGTAAAATATCTTAAGTGATAAGTACATCACATAAGACATATTAATGGTCAAAACTCAAATGGAAACGTAAATAATCCTAGTCTACAAATCTATAACCATAATATATTGGCATTTCCTATCTTCCACACATTTAAATTTTCTTCCTTTTCTTTTGATATAAGCTTTCCTTCTTTCATTTCAATAAAATCAGAATGTTTTCTCCTCAAATGTATTGTCGACTAGTGTTTTGGTGAATTTTCTGCTATTTGGGTTTTTTCCATTCTCTTGGTTTATCGATCTTTCCTAGGAAACGAAAAATGATACTTGAAATCATTATTTTCTTCCTCTTTGTATTTCTGTTTACAAAAATCCACATTAAAAACCTTCTTGTGAACGAGTCACCGTCTTCTTCTTCTCGTGGCCACTGTGCTCATTGGTTCGTTCGTCGAAGAACGTGCCTCGACTGTAAAACAAACGTGAGCCGTCTCAAAGTCGTCCAATCATTCAACTATACATTCTCCGGTTTACGTCTGAGCAACGAAGCTGTATCTTTCACAAAGCGCGTCACAACCCTAACCTCAATTCACGTACGCAAGAAGCTTCACTTGGTCCTTGACTTGGACCACACGCTAATCCACTCCGTTCTGGTTTCCAATCTTTCAGCAGCAGAGAAGTATCTAGTCCAAGAAGAGAGACCATGTTTAACGCGAAAACCATCGAGATTCGGAAACATGTTAATCAAGACTCGACCTTTCGTCAACGAGTTCCTTAGAGAAGCCAACAAGCTTTTCGACATGTACGTTTACACGAAAGGCGATTGGATATACGCTCAAGATGTTGTCAAAGTGCTCGATCCAAACAAAACCTATTTCGGTGATCGAGTGATAACAAGAAGAGAGAGTCCTCACAAGAAGACACTTGATCTTGTTTTAGCTGATGAGCGTGGGATCGTGATTGTGGATGATACTCTTGACGTTTGGCCTCATCACAAGAGAAACTTGTTGCAGGTCACGAGGTACTTTTACTTCAAGAACAACGGCATAAAAAGAGAGTCCAAACCATCGTACGCTGAGAGGAAGCAAGACGAGAGTAGAAGCAGAGGATCTTTAAAGAATCTTCTCAAGTTCCTCAAGGAACTCCACAGTGGTTTCTTTAGCTGTGGAGCTGTACAAGAGTTGGATTCAAAGGACGTTAGGGCTTTGATCAATGGTCCCTTCAAACCAAATGGATGTTGACTTTGCTTTTATTATTTGCAATTTCTCAGGATATGTAATCAGTCAAGAGACTTGACTGGATTCAAGAGACAATTAGGATGTTTCTTGTTTTTTATCTTTTCTTTTCAGACAAGTCTCTCCAAAGAGACAGAAGAAACATATTAACTTAACATCTAAAGGTTATGAAACTATCAAAGAAACTAGAAAGCTAACTTTGAAACTCCTGAACCAGCTTCTCCTCCTTCACTCCTCTCTCCAATTAGGTCAAGTTAAAACCTTTTTTCACCGGAAAAGTAAAAAGACGAGGACGAGGGCGAGAGCAAGAGCAGCAGAGGAGAGACCCCAAACCCAATATCTGTGAGCCTTTCTACGGTTAAGGATGGCTTTAGGGAGAGCTTCTGTGCCTCTTCCACGGTGTTTGTACCTGAAAGATCTCTGCTTTGGGAACAGTAATCTCTCCTCCTTCTGGATTCTCTCTTTCCCTGAGACTGCCAAAGTCCTAACCTTTTCCATACCATTGTTTGCTTCTCGTGATTGGTTTGATTCTGAACGAGAAGGAGAGTTTGCAGCTGCAGCTTTCTTCTTCGCCTTCTTCTCACACTCCTGCAAACAACAAAAACAATGAATTTAGAAACAGATGATGAGAAATGGATTTGAAAATAGTTATTGATATGTAAAACTTGCCTTGAGTTTCTTTTCAGCTTCCTTCTGAGCTCTGACAGCAGCTTTAGCAGCAGCTTTCTCTTGCAGCTTCCTCTTCCTCTCCATAGCCAAACGAGCTTTCTCTGCCTGCTCTTCTCTTTTCCTCTCCTTCAATGTCTCTTCATCAACCTCAACCTCTTCTTCTTCCTTTTTGGGGCTCTCATACACCAAATCTACAACATCACTCTCCTCAGCACTCGACCTGTTGAGATCATTCACCTTTCTTTCTGAGACGATGCCTTCTCCATTCTGAGACGAGTTTGAGCTTGAATCGTCTCTGTTCTTGCTCTGTAACGCCACACCTTCCTTTCTAGTCTTGACCGGCGCTTGCTTTTCACGATCTTTAACCCTCCCATCTCGGCTAAGCTGCCTTTCGTAGAGTGACTGCGAGGTCCTCTTCACGTAATCATCCCTGAAAGCCTTGTCATTGTTCCAATGACTCATGAATCTATCAACCTACACAGCAAAAAGACAGACTTCAGGAACAGATGATACACACAGAATCAATCAGGAACAGATACAAACCTCAGAGCTAGCAAACACTTCTAGATCTCTAACATTTCCAGTTGCAGCCAATTCTTTAGCTTTCCTCATCACAGCAAGGTTCTGGAAATGCGCCGCATTCTAACCAAACACACAAACATAACCACAAAAATGTTATTACATCTCTGAGATCAAAATTAAAACAGAGAGACGAAGATCAAATATACCCCTCTGTCTCGCCTTATCCTCAGCATCTTGATCCTTTCATAAGATCTGTCTCTCTTTTCAAGCACATGTGCCATTTCCACATCCAAAGCCTTGATCTTGTTCTGACTCTTGCCCATTTTGTCACTCAGGTGGTTCAAGTTCCAAGTAATCGCATCCACCTCCTTCCTTACTTCATTCAGTTCCACAGCCATTGCCTGAAATAAACCAACTCACATCTTTAGATTCTCAACAATGTTTTTGGTAAAGTCTTGAGCTTTCGAATTTAGATCTTTACCTTGAGACTCTGTATGAAAGCTTCTTTCTTTGCAAGAGACTCCTCACTGAGCGGTATTAACCCATCAGGCTTCTCTGTCTCCTTAAGAACCCAATCTTCTTCCTCAAAACCGGTGCTTCCATGTTCAATCACGTAATGCGCTATGTAGATCTGCATCCACCAACATTCAAACACACTTAACACAATCAGCGACCTTTAAAAACAGAGTTTTTTTTTAGTAAAGAGAACAAATTTCATTACAAGATGATCAAGCTCCTCCTTGGAAACACAAAGCTGGTCACTAACAGAGCACCGGAGATTCCGGAGAGATTCATGAAGAGTATCAAAGTCCTTCATCTTCTCCTCAAACACCACTTTGTCTCCTTCACACTTAATCACCAAGCTCTCCATTTGAGATAACAGAGACGAAATCTCAGCCTACAAACAAAAACCCAAAAATTAAAACTTGGTAACGTAAAAAAAAGGTTTTTTTTTTTCTTGTAAAGACTCACCCTTTCGGATTTCTGTGCATTGGAGAGATCAATTCGGAGTTTATTAAACTGATAAATCTCGGAATCAGCTTCATCGATCTTGGCTTTGATCTCGGGATCGTCATAAGCAGGTTGCTTAACTATGTAGAAAGAGAAAGGTGTTGTCTCTTCTTCGGGCCATTCCTCTTCAGCCTGAGCTCTTCCCGGCGAGCTATCTCCGGAGAAAACAGTGCTGTCTTCTTCGGTGGTCACCGTTGATTCGTCGCAGTTTGAACCACCGGACTGTTCGCTTCCGAAGAGTATTAGGTCGTTCATCTCCGGCGGAGGAACCACCTCGAAGCCGTCGAAGAGAATTATCTGCGCACCCATTTCTTCCTTCAAAGACAAAAGAACAGAGAACAGAGGAAACTCACTATAAGAAGTGTGACATTGTGTAATGAAGCTGAGATCGAGACAAAACTTTAAAAAGGTTTTGTCAGAAAAAAAAATAAATAAACCCCCAACAAAAAAAAGTGCAAAAGATAAAAAATAAAGAAGATTTAAGAACATACGAGAATCAGAAAAGAGAACAAAAGGATATTTCCACCAATCACCAACAAAGATATGTCCTTTACATTAAACCCAGAATTTATTTCGGAAGATTCAGCTCGGAATTAAAAATGTAAAAAAAATGAAAAAAAAACGCAGAATCGACGAAGAAGATTTCAGAGTAATTAAGATAAATTTCGAGGCTTTAACGGAAAAAGTTATTGGGAATTACCGAGAGAGAAATGAGTGACGAACAGATGTCTCCGAAAATCTCAGGGTTTTGGCTGAAGAGGAAAATCTAATCTAATTACGATTACTGGGGATAAATTATGAAATCTAAAGGTAGAAAAAAATCTTGTCTTTAAGGTATGTATAGAGAGAGGGAGAGACAGAGAGAGAAACCCTGTTCTTCCTCTTCTTCTTCTTCTTCTTCTTCTTCTTCTTCTTCTCTCTATCAATGGAGAGAGAAGAGGAGAGACTGGATCAGACAGGTTTTTCTCTTTTGGCTATTTCTTTCAAATCTCTATCTTCAAGACTTTAAAAAAAGATTTTCTTCTTCATCCTAATTTAAAAATATATTAAGGAAATAAAGATTTCTTGTATTAATTTAATTCTATCTCTCCCTTTTTATTTTTTTTCTTTAATCCTTCTATCCAAATTTGCAAAATCGTTTTTTTATTTATTTTAAATGTTAGACCTTTGTTTATTTCCATAATACTAATTTTTATGAAAACTGTCAAACATTAAAAACTGGCTGACCAAAAAAAAAACACTAATTATTACTGTTCACAAGAAAAACACTAGTTAAATTATTATGACTAAATTACTTGTTCTTGACCGGAAATGTCTAATGACAAGAACAAGAAAGAAAATAAAACAATTTCCCTATGGGTTTAGGATGGTCAGAGTCAACTCTTGTTTATACAAGTTGACTGTTGACTTTCTTTGTACTTGACATTATTAATCAAATGCCCTTTTTATTGCATAGAGTCATATGCATCACATCGAAGATTTTGGCAAGAAAAATGAGAGTTTATTTCTCAATGAAGATAGCCCTTATTATTTTTATTCAATAAGTAACGTAATTAACTTAAGTAACTTATGGTTATGGATGATAAAACTAAATGCTGACAAAGCATGGCATTGACCACTACCTGACATAAAATTGAGAAGGTTCTACTTCTATATCCAATGTTAGTAATGTTTTTAATGCTTATATTTGAATTCAAAAGTTCATTTTTGAGATTTAAGCAAGCTCGAGATATCTCATAGTCCTCATCCCACGTTGAACAGAGATGGCATATTAGAAAGCTGAGCATCATAATATATCAGTATACTTTTTTGGGTACCAATATTTTTTAAGGTGGTAAATTATCTTCGAAAGTCTTTGTCATTATTTGTAAAACAGATATTAATATATTATATTGAAACTAAAATATAAAATAATTAAAGAAAATCTCTATTGATGGGATGCAGTCATGCAGAAGCCAATTCAGTTTCCATTGCTAAATTAATTGCCAAAAGAGTTTTTAATTACAGTATTTAACTATGTTTGGACAAAGGACAAAACTCTCTAACCACCCAAGAACAAAACGATTTTTAGCATTTAATTATGGGCACTTATCGGTTACTACTTACAACCTTTTCAGTGACAATTAATCAATTATAGACGTTACGTAAAAAAAAGTTATGCAAAAGACAAAACCAAAAAGGTCGACTAGTTTTCTGGCCGTTGAAATTATCAAAGATTTTTAAATCTAATTTTTTTAAATAAAGTCTTTTAGTTCTCTTTTGTTTATCTCTTTCTAATATTTTTGAGAGAAAGTGAGAGCTCATTGTAAATCTTTTTGGTTTTTCTTGCTAATTTCAGTTCGGGTAATAGTTTTTTGGATAAACTTTTTTTTTCTTTACACAAAGATTTAAAAATATAATTTCAGATTCAGTCGATCGACTTTTATTGTCAATTTAACTCTCTTTGAATGTAGAAATAGTATTTTTCCGTTTTTATGTGGACTTTGTTGTCTTTTTCCGAGCTTTTTGGAGATCGAGTTATAATGAGAAAAACCATTTACCGACGACTACAATAAAGTTTTTTTGGATTTGCATCGACCAAGATTATGGAGAAAAGTCGTGGATTTTAGGCACCGCAATTAGTTTGTTCCCTTTATCGTTTTGTATGTTAACACGTGACACTTTTTTCTTAATTTTATTTTATGCATCAGCAAAAATTACAGAGAAAACTCGTGGATTTTTGGTGCAGCAATTAGCTTGTTCCCTTTGTCGTTTCACATGTTAACATGTGACACTTTCTTTTCTTAATCTTATCTTGTTTCATGTAATAGTTTTCCGGATAATTTTAGTTTTCCTTACACAAGTTTTTTAAAGTTTAATTTTGGATTCAATTGATCGACTTTTATTGTCAACTTTTCGCTGTCTTTTATGTGGACTTTGTTGTCTTTTCCGGAGCTTCTTGGAGTTCGAGTTGAGATGAGGAAAACTATCTATAGACAGCTGCAATAAAGTTTTTTTTTTATTTGCATCGGCGAAGACTATGGAGAAAACTCATGGATTTTTGGCACTGCAATTAGTTTGTTCCTTTAGTTGTTTTGTATATTAATATGTTATACTTTTTAATTAAATTTATGCATCGACAAAGATTACGGAGAAAACTCATGGATTTTTGTCGCCGCATTTAGTTTGTTCCCTTTGTTGTTTCGTATGTTAACACGTGACATTGTCTTTTTCTTAATCTTATCTTGTTTTAGGTAATAGTTTTCCGGATAAGCTCTTTTTTATCTTTACACAAGTTTTTAAAGGTTTATTTCGAATTCAATCGATTGTCTTTTATTCGTCAACTAAACTCTCTTTTAATGCAAAGTCTTTTATGTGAACTTTGTTGTCTTTTGCGAAGCATTTTGCAGATGAGATTGAGGTGATAAATAGTCATTTATAGATGGCTGCAATAATTTTTTTTTTAGATTTGCATCAGCGAAGATTACGGAGAAAACTCTTGGATTTGTGGCACCGCAATTAGCTTGTTCCCTTTGTCGTTTTGCATGTTAACACGTGACACTTTCTTTTCTTAATCTTATCTTGTTTTATGTAATAGTTTTCCGGATAATTTTTGTTTTCCTTGTAGAAGTTTTTGAAACTTTAATTTTGGATTCAGTTGATCGACTTTTATTGTCAACTTTTCGCTCTCTTTTATGTAGACTTTGTTGTCTTCTCCGGAGCTTCTTGGAGTTCGAGTTGAGATGAGGAAAACTATCTATAGACAGCTGCAATAAAGTTTTTTATTTTATTTGCATCGGCGAAGATTATGGAGAAAACTCATGGATATTTGGCGCTGCAATTAGTTTGTTCCTTTAGTCGTTTTGTATATTAATATGTTATACATTTTTCTTAAATATATGCATCGACGAAACATTACGCAGAAAACTCATGGATTTTTGTCGCCGCATTTAGTTTGTTCCCTTTGTCGTTTCGTATGTTAACACGTGACACTGTCTTTTCTTAATCTTATCTTGTTTTAGGTAATAGTTTTCTGGATAAGCTATTTTTTTTATCTTTACACAAGTTTTTAAAGGTTTATTTCAAATTCAATCGATTGTCTTTTATTCGTCAACTAAACTCTCTTTTAATGCAAAAATAATATTTCTGCAGTCTTTTATGTGAACTTTGTTGTCTTTTGCGTAGCATTTTGCATATGAGATTGAGGTGATAAATAGTCATTTATGGATGGCTGCAAAAAAAATTTTTTTGGATTTGCATCAGTGAAGATTACGGAGAAAACTCTTGGATTTTTGGCGCTGCAATTAGCTTGTTCCCTTTGTCGTTTTGCATGTTAACACGTGACACTTTCTTTTCTTAATCTTATCTTGTTTCATGTAATAGTTTTTCGGATAATTTTTGTTTTCCTTGCACAAGTGTTTGAAAGTTTAATTTTGGATTCAGTTGATCGACTTTTACTGTCAACTTTTCGCTGTCTTTTATGTGGACTTTGTTTTCTTTTCCGGAGCTTCTTGGAGTTCGAGTTGAGATGAGGAAAACTATCTATAGACAGCTGCAATAAAGTTTTTTTTATTTGCATCGGCGAAGATTATGGAGAAAACTCATGGATTTTTGGCGCCGCAATTAGTTTGTTCCTTTAGTCATTTTGTATATTAATATGTTATACTTTTTTCTTAAATTTATGGATCAACAAAGATTACGGAGAAAACTCATGGATTTTTGTCGCAGCATTTAGTTTGTTCCCTTTGTCGTTTCGTATGTTAACACGTGACTCTGTCTTTTCTTAATCTTATCTTGTTTTACGTAATAGTTTTCCGGATAAACTCTTTTTTATCTTTACACAAGTTTTTAAAGGTTTATTTCGAATTCAATCAATTGTCTTTTATTCGTCAACTAAACTCTCTTTTAATGTAAAAATAACATTTCTGCAGTCTTTCATGAGAACTTTGCTGTCTTTTGCGTAGCATTTTGCAGGTGAGATTGAGGTGATAAATAGTCATTTATAGATGGCTGCAATAATTTTTTTTTAGATTTGCATCAGCGAAGATTACGGAGAAAACTCTTGGATTTATGGCACCGCAATTAGCTTGTTCCCATTGTTGTTTTGCATGTTAACATGTGACACTTTCTTTTCTTAATCTTATCTTGTTTCATGTAATAGTTTTCCGGATAATTTTTGTTTTCCTTGCACAAGTTTTTGAAATTTTAATTTTGGATTCAGTTGATCGACTTTTATTGTCAACTTTTCGCTGTCTTTTATGTGGACTTTGTTGTCTTCTCCGGAGCTTCTTGGAGTTCGAGTTGAGATGAGGAAAACTATCTATAGACAG